CATCGTCTTCTTCTTTTTTTCATTTTCTTCTTTTACTATTGTAGAAAATGTCAAACATTCAGAAAAGTTGAAAAAAATTCTATTGTGAGCTGGATGGGTGAAACACACCTGTAATCCTAGCAATTTGGGAGGCTGAGGCAGGAGGATTGCAAGCTTGAGGCCAGCACGGTAATTTAGTGAGGTCCTGTCTCAAATAAAAATAAAAAGGTCTGAGAGTGTAACTCAGTCATAGAGTGAGTCCATTCCCAGCAACACACACACACACACACACACACACACGGTACTGTGAACACTCATTTACCAACATCTTAATCCTACAATAGTTAACATTCTGCCCTGTTTTCCTTATCACACATCAATCTATTTCTTAATCCATCTTATTTTTAAAATGCAGTTAAAGTAAACTGCAGACATCAATATGCTTCATTCCTAACCATTTCAGTATGCAGATCATTAATAAGCATTCAATGTTTATTTATATTCTTTCTTTCAGGTAAAATTGATGTCAGTGAAATACACAAATTTTAATGATCCCGTCCAACGGGGTTTGATGAATACATTTTCCTGAGTAGCCCATAAGCCTGTCAAAATGTATAGAAAGTTTTCAACACAAAAGAGACTTCCTTGATGCCCCTTTTGCAAGGAATCCCTCACCCCTCCTGGCCCAGGTGATGACTGGTCTACATTGTATCACTATATAGTAATTTTTAGAATTTCTTTGTGTTAGTCAGTTTTTCATCACTGTGACAAATTCCTAAGAGAACCATCTTAAAGGAGGAAAGATTTATTTTGGCTCATGGTTTCAGAGGTTCTAGTCTGTGGTTGACAGCTCCATTGCCCTGGGTCTGAGTCCGTGAAATATCATGGCAGAAGGATGTGGTGGAGGAAAGCTTCAGTGGCGCATGGTAGTCAGGAAGGAGTGGGGTGGGGAGGGAGGGAGAGAGATAAGAGAGAGAGGTGTGTGCCAGGAAGGAGAGGGACATGCCTTTCCAGGACACATCCCCAGTGACCACTTTGTCCAACTAGGCCCCACCTCCTACAGTTCCCATCAACAATGGCACCAAATTATTAATTCATCCATGGATTAATCCACTGCTGAGGTCAGAGTCCTCAAGCTCCAATCACTTCCCAAAAGTCCCACGTCTGAACATGGCTGCATTGGGGACCAAGTCTTCAACACATGAGCCCCCAGGGAATGTTCCAGAGGTCAACCATAATAACACTGACCCCAGTGGCACCAGACAGTATGCGCGATTTCCTGAGCAGGTGTTCTTACTCTGCAGATGCCACTGCGTGAACCCGTATTCTTCCCTTTTACTTGCTGATGAGCAACCTGGGTGCTTGGTGGCCCCTTGGGACCACTGGACTCTTTCACTTTGAAGCCGGCCCCTACAGAACTTTCTTCAGCAGGAGCCTGTGCTTTCTCCAGGCTTGGTCAAGTTCAGAGGAGGTTGTTACTTGTAGCTACAATCCTCCAAGCTAAAGCGAGACGTCTTTGCTCTCTCCTGCTTTATGGGAAGAACTGGAATTTCTGATTGACACATGAAAATGCAAGTGAAGGCACCCTCATTGGAAAGAACCTTGCTGCAAGGAGGGCAGATGAGGGGTTATCCTCCTCCACGGAGAAGCACTTCGTGAAGAGACCCTTGTGTTCTGGGGGAATCCCTTCCTCCTTGGGCGGCCTCCGTGCCCGCAGAGCCACCCCGCCCGGCGCCATCATCAGTGTGCTGGGATTTTGGCGGGCTCTCTATTGGCTCCTCGCAGTACTTGGACTGGAGGTCCCTCCCTGGGTCCTGCTCAGGAGACTCTGCAGCTGTACGGGCTGGAGGTGGAGCAGGCTCCGGTAGGTGGCGCTCTTCCTCAGACCCACCCCCAGCCCCCGGGCCTCGGCCACCGTCTGAAACCAGGAGCTGCCCCTGCAAAAGGAGCCTTCTGATGCTCCTCACAGTCCTGGAGGACACTGAGGGTTCTGTTGACCCTTCCCAGGGGCTCTCACCTGGAAGCAGTTTTCCGAATCTCAGGACCGACCCAGCATGTGACCTAAGGGGAAAAGGATCCCAAGTGCCCAGGTCTGATCACTGTGTGTTGTGCACATGGATTGCAAGGTCACACCTACCCTGTCAATATGCGCAATTACCATGTGACGGTTAAAAGTAAAAATATGTTACAAAAAAGAATCATTACTACAAAACCTGGGAAAGAAGTCTGGTGAGGAAACTGGACACTGGGTCGGATCTGAACGCCAGCCACTGATGTTAGTACAATGCCACTAAGGACCGAAGCAGAGGCATTTGTCCCTTTAGTCTTTTATTCGTTGATTTAATATTCAACATGGAGAGGGGATGGGTATGCCATTGAAGGAATGGGTGTTGGAGTTAGGAGGACTTGGTTTCTATCTGAGCCGATCACTGAGCCCCAATTTGTTTTTCATCTGTAAAATGGAGACCATGTCCTTAGGTCACAAAGCACTTCTTTCCTGGAGTCAAGGAATGTTGGTTGAGCACCTACTATGGGCCCCACGACGCTCTGGTGCCATGGGAACAGTGTCATGAGTCACTGTCACTGTTGTCTGGAGCTCTCTGAAGATGGTGTCTTCAAAGCCACCACGTGGGTGTCCTAGTCCTGCGTTCTCCTCCTACAGCGTGGTACTGGCCGTTGGCCATGAAGAGCCGGGACTGTTCCCACCCTGAATCAGGGAGGCCTGCGACTGGGCTGGAAGCCAGGCTGCGCAATTCCAAGGCTTTATCACAGAAGGTGAGCCAGCGTTCCCCAGGCCCTCTCCTGGGACGTGAGCCTTGAGGTCCCCAAGTTGATGGTCATAAGAATGCAACTACCCTGCAGCCGCGTTGCTGGAGAGACCCCCTCAGGGACCGAGAAGGATGCCCAAAGGGCCCCACAACTTCCAGCCAGCGGCCTTTGATCTGGGGAAGGCCCTAGAGGTCAGCCATCCCTGCTGTGCCTCTGGGATCTGTGAGCACAATAGACGGCTGCTCTATGCCTTAAGTTTTGGGGGAATTTGTTTTGCCACCATCGTAGCTTCAGCACACCATGTGCTAGTTGGGCAAATAGAAAATGACCAGGGGACAAATAACCAAGATACTGTCAAACCCAGCTGCTATGAACCACAACTAAGGGAGTAACTGAGGAGCAGGGAGAGGAGACAGTCCCCACTCCTGCGAGAACATCTAGGCCACGGAGACCTGGAAATACAACGAGGGGCCAGAATGAGTGTTCTGGGGACAGAAATAACAGCAAATGCAAAGGCCCTGCGGCTGGCTCAAACTCGGCTCACTCCAGGACCTGGAGAGGCACATGGGTGGTGCCTCTAGACTGCAGTGAGGGCAGGTGGCAGTCCAGGAGGAAGTCACGGCTGACAGGGTGACCTCACGTAGGCAGCTGCCGGCCAGGGCCAAGGGTTTGGACTCTTATCCAAGTATAATGGGAAGCCATTGAAAGATTCTTGGCGGTGGCGGGATGTGGTTTTATTTACATTATCAAAATCCCTCCGGCTCTGTGTGGTGATGGATTGAGGGGTAAGACCTAAGCAGGGAGGAGGATTGAGACTACAGACTGAGGTCAGCAAGGACAGACAGCAGCTCGACTGGCCCGGAGCTGGTGACATGGTAATAATAGCACCCACAGCCCGAAGTGGCCCGGTTCGTGCGCAGTGTGTGTAACTTCAGCCTCACGACACCCAATGACGTGCGTCCCATTATTGTGGCCGAGGAGAGTCCTTGTCCCTTGCCTCCTAAGTGGTGGAGGCCAGCCCTGGCCTGGCCCCTGACCCTGACCCTGTGCTGTTCCTGGGAAGGAAGCCCGTGGAGGACTCAGATGTTCAGGAGGCAGAGATGGCGGGGCCTGGGGAGCAGCTGGACTTGGAGAAGGGCGACCAGCGACCGGAGGACGACGCCTGATTCTGACTTGGACGGTTAGGAGGGAGGGGTGCCACCTATCCAGGGGTCTAGGGGGGAAATCGGGGCAGGAGAGGCAGGACCGTACGAAGGAACTTTGGAAGGAGCAGTGAGAGTGACCCAGGGAGCTGCCATCATGGAAGGACAGTAAGTGACGAGCTGAGGTCCACACAGTCTGGGGTCCCTGCCCCGCTGGCCAAGGGCAAGCACCCTGCATGTCCCAACGCATCCAATTCCGTAACAACCCCAAGAAGCGGGTGCCGTTACTTCCTCATTTTACTGGGGATGGACCTAAGGCATCGACAGGCTGAGTGACCGACCTGGTACCTGGGGCCTCGGGACTTGGGCTGGCTGGCTCCTGGCTCCGACCTCCGCAGACACAGTGAGTGAGCCAGTGTCTGGTGAGCACCAAGACAGAGCCAGGTGCCTGGTAAGGGGTCAGGGATCGGAGGTGACTGCTGTGACCTTGTTCAAAGGTGACTGACGTTGCATTAGACATGTGGGACAGGACCCAGGCCCTGAGGGAAGATGCCCTGCTTGCAGGAAGCCCAGAGGCGACCACACTCAACCCCACGCAGAGGAGGTGCTGCCGGGACAGCGCCAAGTGCCCATGGGTCTCCCCAGGCAGATGCTCTCCAGGTCCAGAGCAATCAGAAAGCTCCTGCCAGGATCACCAACACCCGGCAACGGAGGGGTCCCCTCTACAGTGCCCTGTCAGGACCCACCCCAGACGTCAGAGGTCGGAAGAGTGACATTTACACTGTTTTAATTACCCAGCAAGATTGGTGTTTGTGGACAGGAAATGTGATGGTTCTGCTGGGCGAGGAAATTCGCCTCCCTCCCCCTCCCTCCTACCTCTCCCCTCCCCCTCCCTCCTACCTCTCCCCTCCCCCTCCCTCTCCCCTCCCCCTCCCTCCTCCCTCTTCCCTCCTTTCTCCCTCCCACCTACCTCCTCCTTCTCTCTTTCCTTCCTCCCTTCATTCCTTAGGGGGATGGAAAGGAGGACACGTTTTTATTAGTACAATCGAGACAAATTCCTTGAAGTTTTGACACAATGAGAAGAAAAAAAAATATGAACTGTTCCCAGGGTTTTTGCATTTTATGAATTATTTTTCCTCTGTGGTTCCCCAAATGCCAAAGATTCAAAGTAACAAGTTAAGCCATTTGGGGGAGCTTTGCACATCACTTTTTTTTTTTTTCCAAAAAATCCCAGGGAATTTTGAAATAGAGAATATGTAAAAATAAAACCGATCTCACATGATCTCACACTGTAACATAACTACTAATATTATTTTGGTGGGTTTCTTTATAGTCTTTTTTTCTTATGTTGGATTTACATAGTTACACTTCTACTGTATTTATAATTCCGTTCCTGCTGTATATATAAATTTTTATAAAGCACATCTTTCTTTGCCATGTAATATTCCACATTTTACTGGAGGAGTTCATTGAATCAACATATCTTAATGTCTAAACATGAGTAAATCACTTTTAGAATCAGGAAATGAATCAATAAAACAAAACACAGAAATTAAATACTGTTACTCCTTCACCTAATGTTGAACACTTGACAAGGGCTCCTGTGTACGGGTGGAGAGTGTAGGCTCTGGAGGTCTATCTTTGCTCAAGTTCCATTTCTGCCACCTGCTGGCTGTGTGATCTTCGCCGACTTACTTCACCTCTCCGTGCTTCAGATTCTTAATCTGTAACACATGGAAAACGAAGGTGCGTACTTCAGGAAGGGGATATGTCACATGGTGCATTTTCAAGAAATGTCAGTTGTCATTACTGTTTTGATCAGCATCATTATTATTTGAACTTTTATCAGCTTCCAAATAGGAATCTGGTGGAACGGGCACTGGATCAGGAATCAGGAAGGTCACGACGTTCTAGACCTGCCGGAGTCTGAGACCGCCTTCCCGATGCTCCTGGAGATGGAATGTTGATACCCATGGTGCCTCCTGCAGGAAGAACTGGAGGCAGGAGAAGTGGCCGTAGGAGCGCAAGGGCTCCTCCAGGGGGCGCATCCTCGAGGTCCGAGGCGCAGTCGTGGCTGTGGGTGTAGGCAGCACGAGGGGTTCTGTGGCCCTAGAACCAGCTGTTCCTGGGGATGCAGTAGGATATGGGATTTAGATACCTACTCAGGCTGCTTCAATGAAATGGAAATGTTTTATTGGGGAGGGGGAGGGGCTTTCTAGAATCTGTGGGTTGAAAGCAGAGCTGAAGGAGGATGTGGGCAGAGGCACACTCATACCCTGCTGGCGGGCCTGAAAATTGGTGCAACCGCTCTGGAAAGCAGTCTGGAGATTATTGGGAAAATTGGAACGGAACCACCATTTGACCCAGCTATCCTGCTCTGGGATTTATACCCAAAGGACTTAAAATCAGCATACTATAGTGATTCAGTCACATCAATGTTTATAGCTGCTCAATTCACGATAGACAGACTGTGGAACCAACCTAAAGGTCCTACAACAAATAAGTGGATCAAGAAAATGGGGTATGTATGCACACAATGAAATATTACTCAGCCATAAAGAAGAATGAAATTATTGCATTTGTTGGTAAATGGATGGAGTTGGACACTATCATGCTAAGTGAAATAAGCCAATCCCCCAAAAAAACAAAGACCAAATTTCTCTGATATGGGGATGCTAACACACGATAAAGGGGAGAATAGAAATTCCTTGGATTAGACAAAGGGGAATGAAGGGAAGGCAGGGGGATGGGAATAGGAAAGACAGTGGAATGAATCAGACATGACTTTCCATGACCAGTGAAACCCCACATCACGTACAACCACAAGAATGGGATCCTAATCAGAATAAGTGATGCTCCATTTATATTCCATTTATGTTACAATACACTCTACTGTCATGTATATCTAAAAAGAATGAATTTTTTAAAATTAAAAGAAAGTAAAAGCATCGAGCAAACAATATGTAGACGTGGGTGTTGAGCAATCAAGGGACAGAGAAATAGCCTTTCCCAGGAAATAGAGGCACTGGTTTGAAGTACGACCCTCTCCCAATCCCCATCTCTGAAGGTCAGTGGGAGGGAACTTCTCCCAGTAGAATCTAGGAGCTAAGGGGAGGAGTCTATCTCAGGAAGGGTTTTCCCATCAACGGGGCCTTCCATTCTGACCTAACACTTTACTCTTATTTCAAGGTAAGCCAAACATTTAATTGTAGCATTATTCCCTCTCGTTGGCTGGGACATTCTATTTGTCTTTTTATTTTAAAGCAAGGAATCCACCAGTACTCCCTGGGGATCAGAGCTGTTCAGTCTGGACTGTGACAAGGAATCCCTGACCCCGCAGGTGATAAAATGTGCAGAATTCAATGCAAATAAAACTGGTGAAAGTGAAAGTAAGAAAAAGAACAGAAGAACAAAACAAAACAAGACCCCGAACCCAGAGCCAGACCCTTTGGGGAATGGGCTGGGAGGTGAGTGACTCCCCCACCCCCTGTGGGGGTCACCTGGCGCCATTGAGCCCCTGTAGGCCTGGGGAGCAGACTGGGGGAGGCTGGAGGCAGTGTGGGCCTGGAGGGAACTCCAAGGACTCTGTGTGGCTTCTTAGCTGCCGTCCAGGGTGTGGACAGTGAGGACCGGGAAGCGGGTGTGGTGGTGGAAGGAGGAGGTTGGAGGGCAGTGGAGTCCAAGGTGAAGCCCCTGTGTGCTCAGCTCGGACGCTCACCCGAGGCCCCAGAGGTTCAGATCCCATGAAGGAAAGTGGAGTGACCAGTCAAGATCACGTGGGGAGAGGAAGGAGAGCTGGACGCAGGGAGACCCAGGAAGGGGCCTCGCCTGCCAGGGTTTGAGGTGGACATCGGCCTTGTGTTCTGCCCACCGGCCTCTGGATGCACTTTTTATGTTTGTTTAGGGGATTTGTCCCTTCATAAGTGTCACCTCCTGCCGCAGAAACGGGGAACATGGGTATTTGCTTTCCTGGGCTCACCTGCAGGGTGACAGGGACACGTAACCTCAGCTCCTAGTTCCCTTTTCCTCCTCTCCCTCCCCCTCCTTCCCCTCATTTCCTCTCCCCCATCCCCCCCTGCTCTCTCAAGTCTCTCTCTCTCTCTCTCTCTCTCTCTCTCTCTGCGCCACGCCCCCTCTCCATCAACAAGGTAACAGGGGATACTGTGAACAACTCTACAGACGTAAATTTGATTCCAACCAAGGTGCAAAAGCAACTTAAGGAGGCAGTATGGTGTTTTCAGCAAATGATACCCAGGGACTTAATATTCACAGGCCATAAAAGGGAAAAAAGAATCTTGACTTAAGCTTCAGACTTTGTACCCAATTAAATCAAGTGGATCATGCACTTATTTAAATGTAAGACAATCAAACTCGTAAAAGATAATTTAAGAGAAAATACTTGACACCTCAGATTTGCCAGAGATTTCTTAGATATGACTCCCCTGTTATTTTTTTGGTGATGCTGGATCCGTAGAATGACACCGCGCTTCATTCTGGGATTATTAATTCGTGTGTGCTCTCTCTCTTTTCCTCTGCCAATCTTTTTCTACCTTTCAGTTATGTCTTACTTTTATTCATATAATGTCCAGGGTTTTTAGTTGACCTTGGTGGGAGGAATAGAGAGAAATACGTCTACTGTCTCTTTCTCTCAAAGTAGAAGCCAGTCCTGGTCCTTGAGGTCAGCTGTTTCCCCGATTCCCCACTCAGAGTCTGCTTTTGATGTCTAAAACTAGGATCAGGTCTGACGTAGAATTCTGGTAAGTCACAGAAAGCCAAATGTACCAGAACATGAAGGTATAGGATAGCAGGAAAGCTCTAGAATCTCTCTTTGTCCCCTTTCCATTTTCCCAGCTTTACTGAGGCAAAATTGACGCGATAACATCCTATATATCAAGGCACGGAAAAATGATGTTTTTGATATAAATAAATATTTTGGAATGATTACCACAATCAAGCTGATTAACATATCCGTTACCTTCTAATTTGTAACAAAATCAGAAGTTTGTAAATAGAAACTATCACCATGAACCAAATTCCGGAGGTGAAGGACATAGTGACCAGAGGGGAAAAAAATCCCAGTGACAGCTTCCAGAGCAGGCTGGATCAGTCGGGAGACGAAATCAAGCACACTGGAAGAGAGGTCATTTGAAATCAAGAAGTCAAAGGAGCCAACTGGAAAAAAGAAAATGAAAAAGAATGAAGACAGCCTGAGGACTTAGAGGGCATCATTGAATGAGCCAAAGTATATTCTGGGAATTCCAGAAGCAGCAGGGAAAGGGTTAACAAAGAAAGGGACAGAGAAAGACATAACGTTTAAAGAAATACTGTGAGAAAAGTCTCCAGATCTGGTGAGAGAAATGGTCACGCAGATTCATGCATCCCAAAGAATCCCCCAAAGATCCAACATGAAGAGATCCTCACTGAGACGAAGATTGTAGTTGAATTCTCCAAAGTCGGAGGCAAACAGAGAATTTTGAAATCAGCAAAAGAAGCTCATCATATACACGGGACCCCCCTTCAGATGCAGCAGATTTCTCAGCAGAAATCTTTCAGGTCAGGGGAAAGTGGGATAATTTATGCGAAGTGCTAAAGAGAACACTGCCAACCCACACTACCCAAGTGTCCCTTGGGAAGTGAAAGACAGATAAAGAGTTTTCCAGACAAACAGACGCGGAGGGATTTCGTCAGCACTAGCCTTACCTTACAAGACATGGAGGAAATTCTCCAGGTTGAAATGAAAGGACTCTTACAACAGGAAGCTCTATAGAGCATGAATCTCAGTGTAAAGATAAGAGTATGATCAAATCCAGAATGCTCTACTACTGTGATGTTTGTGTATGAATCACTGCTAAATCTAGTATAAGAGTTAAAAGGCAACGTATTTAAAATAAGTATAATATCTTAATTAATATTACATGTTAATATATAAGAAGATGTCAGTTTTGACATTAATAACAAAAAGTGAAGGAGAGAACGAGTTATTTGGTAAAAGTTGTTATCTGCTTCAAGCAGACTCATAACTATGTTTTATTTAAGTCCTTTTGTAACTTCAAAGTAAAAGGCTGAAGCAGACACACAAAGAGAAAGAGATCAAATCGAATTATATAACAAGAAATTAATGAAATCAGAGAGGAAGTCATAAGGGCAGAGTCCTGACTCAGTAGGATCAGTGTCCCCATAGGAAGAGACACTTTAGTGCTCTGCCTCTCGCTGCGGTGTGAGGACACAGAGAAGGCGGCCATCTGCAAGCCAGGAGGTGAGCTGTCCCCTGAAACCGCCCTGCTGCCTTCGGACCCCAGAACTGTGAAAAACAGCTGTCTTTTGCTTTAGCCCCAAGTCCACTGGATTTTATGATGGTCGGCTAGCCAGACGGACACGGGTTCTGTACATATCTGTGATTGAGAAAGCCGACTGCCATCTCAGTTCTGAGCTCTGAGAACAGCCCAGCCCACGGGGTACTTGGATGAGAGCCATTGGATGATATATGTGAATTCGAAAGCAGTTTGTCAAAACACATAAAGATGACCTTATAACAACTACTGTTAAAAAAATGATTTTTGAAAGTTAAGTCACAGTTTTTTGAGAAGATTTGGAGGACCAAGGAATGTCACAGAGGCCCTGAGTTTCCTGGTGATGGTACTTGATAAATGATGTATAGCAATTAATAGCAAAGTGGGGTTCCTGTTAGTGACCAGGAATTGGCCTTTCTTCTAGCCCCTATTTG